AAAAATCATTCGAAGGGGCTGTGAGTAGCTAGCAAATTTTAATGTAGAATAGCAGAACTTAGGTCTGGGTTTATGCTTATCATGTATTACAAAAAAACATTCAACGGAGGTATTCGAAAATCATGAATAGCGAGCTCACGCTTCGAAGCTTCGATGACTTTTTGTTTCCTCAAAATCCACTGCACTATACTGATTAGATTATGGCTGTGGTCATAGGCCTATTCGGCATTCGGCTGTGGTTAGAGCCTATTTTAAGATTTCTTGGAAACTTCAAGATTCCAGTAATCTAGGCTAGTACTTGTATTAAAGTTTATTCATGTTTTAACAGGAGATCTAACGTCACTACGTCAGCGTCTGTCATTCATTGCAGTTTGCAGATTTTTCACTCTAGATTTTGGCTACCCACCAAAGAAGGTAAGACTGAAGGCAAAATGTTAGTGGTATAGCCCTTGAAATAAAAGTGAGTGTTGAAATAAGAGAGGGCAGTTGAGGATTCGGAACCGGAAAGTAAGGTAAAAATGGCCACAGTGCCACAGCACAGCGCCTAAATCAACCAATAGATCTAGATATCTAGATCTAGATCTAGATCTAGAGTATTAGTATTAGATCTAAATGTGTAGACAATAAACAGTGATATTGATATTGACATGATTAGCATGAATGACAATACATGTTCTGTTTGTAAGGGTGAAAAAGACGGTGTGTTTCTTGACTGGATTGGCTGCGATTGTGGGAGATGGTTTCATATTGGATGTCTGGAGGATGAAACTGAAACTGAAAGTTTGCGAGGGAAGGAGATTGACGAGATTGAGAAGATGATTTATGTTTGTGATTTTTGTAAATATGTTGATTCTAAATAAATGTTCTTGAAGTTGTACCTCAAACAACAATCTGGAATACGGTCTTTGATAGTTTATTACTCTGCTTTGTTGTTATACATAATGCCTATTGACTGGTGCTAGCTGTGAAAGGGTCAAGGGAGTGTTAAAAAGACATTAAAACAACTCTCAAAGCAGTTACTTGCATTAAAAATGGGATTTTGTCACACATCAGGGCCATATTTACAGTGTTCTCTAAAGTGTGTGCGATCACTGGAATGCGGTCTGTGCGACCTGAGGCATGGCCTATAAAACTGTGCGAGGTGTGGGAGTGGGGGTAGGCGTACGAGATCGGGCCGTGTGCAAAAAGTGAACAGCACAATCATCAACGTAACGCCCCTTCTCGTTCAGGAAAAGGTAATTCTCAACCTGGGAGTAAAAGAAAGGTCAACCAATGGAAAGAGTGAAAATATTGAAAGTTACAAAGGTGACTTCCGGTCCTTAGGCCTAAGCGTGCGAGGTTTGGCGAATCGACCCTAGATCTAGAATCTATCTATTTTTTTTCGGAGTGTCTACGTGCACGGTACCGGGCTCCAAGCCTCAGTGTCTACGTACACGGTAACCGGCAACCGGGCACGTAATCTCAGTGTCATGTACACGGTAACCGGGCATGTAGCCTCAATATCTACGTACACGGTAACCGGCTACCGGGCATGTAGTCTCAGTGTCACCAGAGACTATATTATAATATAATTAAATACTCTCTGGTATCACCTTCACGGTAACCGGGCAGTTCAGAACTCCAAGTTCAGTTTCTGTCATCCGGTGTTGCCTTCATCCCCTCCCCTCCCCCGACTGTACCTTAAAAAAGAAATCAATAATCTCCCCCCCCCCCCAATCCGGAGCCCTATACTTCACAGTGCACAGACTTTGAATGAGCTTTGGTGACCCCAACCGGTACTCACAATTATGTGATGCACACACACAGGGTCAGTGCGCTTGTACGACTTTCTTTTTTTTTCAGCAAGTGACAGCACAGGACAAATATTTATTTATTTTCATTCCGGTTACCGTGTACGTAGATACTGAGACTAGGTGCCCGGTTACTGTGTACGTAGATACAAAGACTAGATGAGACTTAGACTAGGTGCCTGGTTACTGGGTTTTTTTTACTTGGAAGGATTATATTAGTTTTTGCTTGGTGACTGAATGCAAGTTACTGCCAAGGTCAAGCAGTCTTGTTTTCTCGCTGTACCTTTTGAAGGTATTGTCAAATGAAGTATAGTCCGGGAACGTTGCCCCAACCACAACTGAAGTATCTGAATATTCAGACAGTTAAAAATCTCTAGATCTAGAAATTGAATTTGATTTTAAAAATGCTTCTTCCCAGTCCTCGCAGAAAGGCAGTATGAAAGGATGACGCCTAAATCTCGCAAATAACTCAAAAAATATCGATATCGGAAACCGTTAGGAGAAATAGCTTAGAGTTCAGCTTTATTTTCCTGAACATTCTGAGAAATAGTCATTTCGTATTTATAATAAGAGAGTTTAACTTTCACTTTCACTTCCTGGATTTTGTCTCTGTGCCAAAATTTTTGCCGGCTGATTATAATTTAGATCTAGATTTTCTAGATCTAATGTCTTTTGACTTTGAGGGATTCAAAGTCCAAAATGAAGGGGCCAGAAAAAAAAGCCTGATTCCTCGTTTGGACTTCGCCTGTTGACATCCACCCCTTGGCGCTCATATGACCTTAGGCTTATTAGATGCAGTTGCGAGTGCTGTGAAAGTGAGGTCGCCTGGTTTCAGTGGTGAAATTAGCGAGAAATGGCCGCCAACTTTTGGTAACTCTGCAATAGCTATAAGAGTTTTTGAAAACTGAAAAATTTTGTGCCTTTAATCAATATTTTTCTGTAAAGTTCACTTGGCCTTGGTGGCCTAGTGGCATCGGTGGCCTAGTGGTTAGGCTACCGGACTCGTAAACGCGAGGTTGTGTGTTTGGGGGTTTGAGCCGCGGGCCCGACGTTGTGTTGTGTCCTTGGGAAAGGCACTCTTCCTAGCATCTGCGTTTGTTGCCATTTTTTTGTTCAAAAGTTGCCACAAAAATGGCAAAAGTTGCCAATAATTTTCAAGCTTTCATAATTCATCTCTCAGTGATAACGTATATTATAGATCTATAGCAATGTGTTGATAGAGGTAACTTAATCTAAAGCAAAAGAATTTCTTGGGCTCTGTTTTAAGCATCCAGAATATCATTTGTAGCCATACAGAGTGTAAAAACATGAAAAAATAAAGGTTTCACAACGGAATGAAATCAAAACTATAATAGACAACAAAAATTAACAAGGGCGTGTGTCCACCTATCCGAAGATTGACTGTTTTTAGACCTGCATGTTTGCCGACAATCGTCTAAAATCCGACATTCGCGACCCGCGAGCTGGCCGATGCTATCGCTAGGCCCGCCTGTATCAGTCAATGTACGTAGTGCGAGGCCTGGCCACAGAATTCTACACTTATAGAACGGGAACTGTACCACGTGACCTGTGAGGAATTGAAGACCGAAAATAATGGCGTCTTGAGGGCACGATTTATCGTTTTCGGAAGTAACCCTATAGCTTTTAAAGCAAGAGCGGCTTTTACAAACGAGTGAAAAGTGGAACATTTACTGTCCAGTTTGTAATTTTGAGTTACAGAATTCACTGTGCAACCTAGAGATTGGAATTAAGGTTTTAAATTGTTGTGTTTTTGGGTGCAACAACAGAAAAAGCAGACATAGAGAGTTTATAAATATAAGATCTACAGAACTGAAAAAATTCGTAACACGGATGGGATTGTTCACAGCACTTCTAGCTTCCCACACACATTTTAGTGTCTCTGACGAAACTGAATGAAGATAATTTAGGTTGTCGTCCTTTTTCGTATTCGCATTTCTACTTAGGTTCCGACAATTATTTTTCTCAAAATGCACACAGCTCTGAAATCCTTGACCAGTGATCACTCACCATGGAACTCTTTCTGTTATGACTGTACTGTAGACACAAGTTTCTTCATTATCACATCTGAATGAGCCTATCATTCATGTATTAGAAACCACACTCCCAACACACAGAAAATGACTTTGAACATATATTCAGGAAACATATGCCAGTTCCACTCTTGTTTACTTTGTTTTGCATTATTGGCTTTTATGTGTAAACCAATATTTTGAGGCCTTTTCTGCATTTTTGTGTTTTTGGCAGCATGTACAATAGGCTTATGTATTTTATGTGCAACCGACACATTCTCCAATCTCTTGTATTTGTTAGACTCGCACGTGCTTTAAACAAAGCATGTTGTTGTACACACTACTGATGCAAACACAGAGATGAATTCTTAAAGTGAGAAATAATACATTTCCTCAATATAAGCTCAATTTATTTATCTCTTTCTAGTAAATTGGAAAAAAGGCTTAGATCTATATTGTTCTTTTTTGCTTGCTTTGGATGGCCTTAAGTTTAATGACAATATTATTGTAGTGAGCATGTTACTGTCAGCGTCCCCATTATCGTAGATCTAGATCTAGAATCTAGTACTAATCAAGACTATATCTAGATATTTTGCCTACAGAATTTATGTTCATAATTAGTGTTATTATCAAGTGTATTGTGATTGTGAAGATCTTTAGTAGATCTAGACTATTTCACTATATTTCCGCTTTGAAGAAAGTTTTAAATACTGATGTAAGGCGTCTTCCAAGCCCTACCACTAGCATCAGCGTGCATAGCAACGCGAAGCCTCGCTGTGCTGCGCAGCCAAAGGCGGCAAAGGTGCCCTCAACAGGCCGCCATGTTTTAGTTTCAATTCCTCACAGCGAATCAGCGATCGCAAAGAGGGAGTTCCGCTTCTATAAGTGTAGAATTCTGTGGGCCTGGCCGACTGCCAGCGACCCCTTTTTCTCCCGTGGGCTTCGTCGGCACTTTCGTTTTCGTGCTGACCGCCGACGCGCGCACCGCCGACTTGATCGGCACAGAAAAAGAAACGCACTACTTGAGTCTAAGCTAGAAAACAAACTGAAAGTGAGTAGCAATAAATCGCCGGTCCTGGCCTCCAGTACAGTACTTTACTCGTACTTTCTACAACCCCGAACAAAATATCGACGTGCACTGAACCCGTTAAATATACGTAATAAGAACTGTCCTGTATGATGACAAAAAGTCAATTGCTACTGTAGGCCTACCAGTGAGGCTGTCCCAAGCAGATCAAGTCTACAATCAGATGCGATACAAAGCTGGACAAAGCACACAAGTTTCCGATCATTATATCATCAAATGTACTTCATCGCACTTCTCAGAACTGAACACTGTGTTGTAACAAAGTGGGGAAGTGTGTCAAATGCTAATTATAGAACTTGGTGTCTAGCTGGGGTGAGGGTTGAAAAGGGGAGGGAAGGGAGGGGGTTTTCGGCCCAGACTGACAGCCGAGTGTCTATGGCTCCTCGTTAAAATTTTCCTTATATCTTCACTAGACAATTCCTCCTTCAGCCGGCCAGACTCCTAACGGCCAGGTACGTTATTAGTGGGGAGAAAACGATGAGTAAATGCCAAACAGTAACTATAGGT